GGGGTGCGGGTGGGGGGTGGTGGGGTGGGGGGTGGGAGGGGGGGGGGGGTGTTTGTGTGTGCGTCTGTGCGAAAGCGTGACCACTTAAAGCTGCTTCTAAGCATGGAAGACCTCAAATAAAATAATTGCAATTTCAAGCAAAAGCAGATAGGGCATCGTAGCAATCTGTCTCTGGATTATGCAATCATTTGCTGTTTTCGAGTAAGTTGGAAGATTTTGCACATATTTTTCTGATACGTTAGGTAAAGTCAAGTGGCATCTGTCTGTTTTCTCCCAGACTCGAGGTCTTCTGTGTTCAATGGTAAGTTTTGCACTATTTTCATACGCTTTTTTTCCAGGGCACATTTCTACCAGTTTCCATTTTCACATTTCAGTTTTTTTGTTGAAGGTCTTGCATTTTCAGCTGTTACCTGGAAGTCTGTAGTACTTGAACTGCTCGCCACACAACAACACTACTTGGGTTTGAAGGCTCCGGGCGAATTGCTGCCATCAGTTAGCAGTTTGCCACCAGTGTGTTTTGTGTAGCCTGTTTTTTTTTCCCCCTTTTGTAGTGCTGTGGTGTTTTGCTGCCACCTAATTCATTTGTATGGCAAATGGCACTGGGAATAATCTCAACAACAAAAAACGGAGTATTAAAAAGAGCTACTGAGCCATTCTGCTTTCTGGCTTGCTTCTTGTTTAAGTGACATGAACAACCATTGGAACGTCATCCAGAGAAGTTTACATGGTGATAGCTCACCTGCTGTACTGTGGACTCTTACGTGTTCTCGACCCTTTCGATAGTAAATGTACCTCTTAGAGCAAAGGAAGGGATTCACTGACCATTACTGTTAGTTGCTGATTTGTGGATGGTGGGAGTATTTTGTCATTACGGTTCTATTTCAACAAACTTGGCTGACCATCTTGGCTTTAGTAGGTATACAAGACAGTGGATTACCATCTTTATTGCTGTAACGTGTCAAGCATTATATGCTAGTAGATTCTAGTTTAATTGTTGCAGGTGGAAAGTATTTTTACTTTTAAGTTTCCATTCTGAATGTGTTTTGACTAAACATACCAATAAACTACTGATGTCTGCAGCATTTATCCATGTCCCTAATTCTCTCGAATGCAGGTCGCTGTAGAGCACTGTTTCATCCCTTGCTACGCAGAAAATGCTTTTTAAGAACATTGTTGCTGGCTTGTCAGATGGCGGTGGGAAGCCGTAGTAGCGCAGTGTCACGTACTTTGGTTGAAGCGTTTGACTTGAGTCGATAAGCTCTGGTTTGCTGTGGCTGTATAAACTCCTTTCCTGGGACGTTGGCTTAAGAAGACACAAGGGTCGGAAACCCTGCCAGTGCCGCTGAGAAACGGTGCCCGGTCCCCTCGTGGCTTGTGAGGGGTCCGGGCTTGGGTCGCTCCGGCTCCAGAGCTGAAAGGCAAGGAAATTGGACATGGTTCATCTGTGTCACGGGTGGCCGGCAAGGTGTTACCGTCAGGGCAGGTCGGTCCCCTCGGTCTGGCGGCTCCTCTCGCCTCGGGGTGTGCGTGGTCCAGGGAGGTCGCGAGCTCCTCTCAGGTGTGTCCCAGGTGGGATTCCTCTGCGCCCCACCTGTGGGGACTGCGGCATCCAGCTTCGGGGATACGGCTGAAGCGGACACTGTGACAGTGCAGGGAGGAACGTGAGCTGAGTTGTCTTAAAAAAACCAATCTGGAGTTGCTTGCTGTCAACTTTAGTGTCGCTTACTCTTGATACTCCGGAACTGATTGTCATACTGCAAGGTAATCCGTTTTTTCCCTTCTTGTGTTTGGTGGCGTTGCCAGCATTTACCCAAAAAAGGTTGGTAAAAGGGTTATTCTTGCACTGCTTGTAGATAAATTGTGTCTGAGTCATGGAATCCACGCGGAGCTGTTCGGCTCTGGGTGAAGTTCCTGGTAGCTGCTGCCTGCTGTGTCTCGAAGTCCTCTGCCAAGTGCATGTCTTGGCTATAATATTTTCTGCTAAATGGCAGTGTCTGAATTGGGAAGTGTCTGAGAAGTGTCACAGTCGTGCGAGTTTTAATACTGGAATGAAAAAACGAGATCCTGTAGAAGACCCCTAAGCCCAAGTCACCAAAAACTCCTCTGGGGAGCAGCCTCAACAGCTACGAGATCTGCTGGCGCCAAAGATCCCCGAAGAAACACCATCCCCTCGATGCCATCTCCTGAGGGCCGGCAGCACTCAGACCTTTGTATTGCTTTGAGGTAAATTGTGGAGGTCTGCAAACTGGTATTTATCTGGGGCTGGGGAGGAGGGGAGGAGACGGCAGAGATAATGGTATCTGAAACCAAACAAGGTTGGCCAGCACCTAGTTTTCCTTACGCCATGAAGTCTTACATATTTAAAATTGTTCAAGAGCACCTGAGCTGATGTTTAGGCTTTGTGAATGATTGTGCGTAATGATTGGCCTGTACATTTTTTTTTTCTTTTTATGCGGTTGAAATGGAGCAAGGTGAAAGTCAATCCATATGCATACCATAGTGATAGCTGGGGGACTTTTAGTGGAGATAAAGAAGTGAGGAAATGCCAGGGGGCAGCTGAAGGGCGTGAGAAAGCAACAACACGTTCAGGGCTGCAGTGGCCTCGCCTGTTCCCTTGGCGGTAACCACGTGCAGACACGGCCCGCACTAAGACACCATTATAATTTCTGTGGATGCAATTTTAGAAAGGCCTTTGCAGTCACAGCCATTGCTGGGGTTTTGCATTTCATGTGGAGAAATACAGCTTGGAAAAGTGGATTTATTGGACGTGATGGAAGAAGACAGCAGGCTGCCTGATAATCCTTGGGAAAGCTCCTCTTGGTGTCCGCGGTGAAAGTTTGCCTTCTTGCAAGGGGAAGAAAAACAGCTTGGGTCGTCAGTGTACCTTTCGCTCGTGTTCTGACTGGTGTCTCCTGGGCTTGAGCTGAAATGAGACATCTCAGTAACGGTGCTTCTGACGCTGTCTCTGCAGCACTTGCTGTTCCCTCTGACAAGTGGGAACAGTGTCAAGTACAGTGTGTGTGTGTGTGTTTGTGCGTGTGTATTTTTGCGTGTGTATGAATTAAGGTTGAGAACAGCTTTTGCAGATGCTGACACGATGCTCTTCTAGGCTGCCTTATTTCAATGCAGTTTTAATTGCAGACCTTTCCCTAACCTTGGAATCCTTGAGTCCCC